TTTTATTGTTATCCTATGCAAGGCTTCAGGACTCATCTTTGGATTATTAATTCTTCCTAATATCTATAAAATGATACATAAAATAAAATAATAAAATAAAATTCACTTGTTTTAAAGTGACTCTCTGCTTTTCAGTATCAAAAAAAGAGGTCTGTGTGCAGTTGCAATGCAATCCAGAGTGATGCTGACAGTAAATGGTATCACAGGCATGTCTTCAGCCATATGGGGAGATATTTTATTCGTATAGTGTACCTGGTAGGACAGAAAGAAAATGGGTGTGTTGGAATTTGGAGGCATGAAAGCCAGGCAGTGTTGGGTATGAAAGAGCGTGTTTCAGTGAGAGGAGAGAGATGACTATGGCAACGGGTGGGCTCAGGTTGGCTCACCTGTAATGGTATGTTGGAATGACCTTGGGAAACAGTGGGAAGAGCCGAAGCCAGAGGAAGAGTGGGATAAGAAGCAACTTAGCCCACAGCTGGAATGTGGACATGGCAAATGTCTCAGAAGGGACCCTCCCTAGTTTTTTGGGCTGTAAAGGCGATATGGGAGAAATACTTTCAGACTTGCAAGATTCTGTTAATGTAACCTTGCAGTAAAGTAGAATTAGTTCATCTGGGTGTGCTGCTTGTCTGGACTACCTTGCAGGGCTGATATTACCTTTGCTTTTCTCCATATGTTTTTCCCTTTCCTTCTCTTGTAAACACATAGGTGTAGAATTGCTGGCACAGAGGAAAGATTTATTTGTCCTTCTAGTATTTGTTTATTTATATCAATTTATATGGCCGCCCATCTTACTAATGTGACTGGGCAGCTAACAGGAATTAAAATACAAAATAAGTTCAATGTATATTAAAAAAAAATAAAAACACCATTCCCAGCTGACTAACACAGAATGGCTCCCAAACACACCATTCACCAGTACTGTGGGCTCAATTACTCTCCTGCCTGTGAAAGCAGCCAGGTCTTCAAGGCTTCCTGAATGGTAAGCAGAGTCAAGGCCAACTGAATCTCAGGCGGTATTGTGTTCCTGATAGCAGATGCAGCTACAGAAAAGACATGCTTCCTGAGTCCCACTAGATGACAATTCCTAGTAGATGAGACCCAGAGCATGCCCTCCTGCCCAGCCTAATGGGACAGGTAGAAATGGGAGTAAGGCAGTCCCTCAAATACCCTGATCCCATGTTATGTAGTAACTTAGTGCATGCAGATTCACAGTCATAGTTGTATTGGGATCATTGGGGTGTGAGAAGGTTAAAGCCTATCCCCAATTAAGCCCAGATCTATGCTCCTAATAACTAGGCTACATTAGGATTGCTGGTGGGAAGAAATTCAGGTCTCTGTCTCCTGTGATGAAGCCGAAGGAGACAGTAATCTTCCCAGTAATCAAGTTCACTGTGGGAATGAGTGGTAGTGAAATTTAAAGATTCCTCTTTTCTGGTGAAGATCACTATCCCGACGTTATTAATAGCAGCTCAAGAATATCAATAGTTCCCTGACAACTATCTGATGTCTGTTTTGATAAAAAATATGGTAGGGTTCAGCAACTGCATGGAGAATAACTGTGGGTCATGGGTTGGCCCTTTAAGGATTCATGTGATTTGTATTATAATAATTTTATTTTATAAATCTGTTGCTTTAAAACATTATACTCTCTTTCAGCTGTGGGGAGCATAGTCTTGAAATATGAACCAGACCCAAGGTAAGTGAACTCCGTGTTCAGTTAATGTGAATGGGTGTGTGTGTGTATGTACAGATCCCTTTTGAACATGAGATGTTCAAAAACATGAAAAGAAACTGATTTAATACTTTCAATTAAACACTTTCTAGGATCCTTTTCTAAAATGCTCTGTGTGCAGAATCTTGAGCACAATCCAGGAAAAGCAAAGCACCTTTTAAGTGATTATAAAAAATGTAAAAATAGAAAAAAGAATCTAGATTAAAGATAACACATATGGAACTACCTTATCCTGAATCAGGCCACTTGATAATCTGGTCCTGTACTGTCAACTCTTTGGTAGAAAGATTTTCTAGTCCAGCTCTTTAAGTTTCATTTTCAGCTGGATCTCGTAAGAAATGATCTGAAGCCTGTTTCTTGACATATGCTCTATTGCTGAGTTGGTGCAGCATCCCAGTTACAGTGTATTTAAAACAAGCCAATAGTATTGTTTAAAATTACTAATAAATCCCTCGAGGGAAGTAAAATTAAAGCAGCAACAGTGTATGTATTTGTGTATTTGTAGCAAACAGGATACCCATCAGTGCTCTATTTTGCTGTGTGGTTGGCTTGGCAAGACATCCCTTCGTGCCTTCGTGCCCAAAAATGAGAGATTGCATTACCTGAGGATGATGGGACTTGAAGTATTCAAAGCAAAGAGGAAAGAAGAAAATTTAGAAGGTCAATTGGAAGCAGCATCTATAGATACTTCGGGACAAGTGCTGGAAGAAATGGAATTTGAATGTAAAACCAAAAACATCAATCAGTTACCGACAATAATAGAAGATGAATTGAATGGACAACCTGAAAAAAAATTAATGGAAGCCAGCATAGTAGGAAACCCTTCTTCCATTGACAAAAATGAAAATACCAAAAATATGCAAAGCAAAAGTAACGTTGACATTACTGAAAAAAAAGACTAAAAAGTCAATTTGCGTTGACTATCCACATGCATTTTTTTATAATTATGTGCTGCAAAGCATCTAAAAATAATTTTAATAAAAAAGCTATTTCAGTTGTTGAGAAAAGTGGTACAAAATTATTTTACAAGAGTTTTTTTTCCCAAACTTTTTTTTATATAAATTGTTTTAATCAAATAAACACCATGATGCAATCACTTGGGTGAATCTGTTTCTACCAATGGATTTTGCATCACTAAAATGATATTAGTCAGTGTAGAAATTAAAATAGATTTATTGCTATATGAATGTAACTTGTAAATTTGATTATGATTTTCTTCTATAATTTGTAATAGATTTCTTTGAGAGAGAATTTTATCTTTCATACACTTTTAATAATTGTTGTTGTTCCTCTGAATTTGCACAATGAAAATGAACTATGTTGTCAGCATACAGTAGCTTAAATTTGAGCTGTGTAACTATGAATCCCAAAATTTGGTTTCCATTGAAAACCTATGTATTAGTTTTATACCATTTTCTTTCCGCCCAACCTGGCTTTTGTACCCTAATAATTGACTTCAGATTGGGATTTAGAGAAACATCTGAAAAATCAATGTTACTGTATTCACACAAAATCTGTACCAAAATTTTGTAATGGTTTGTTCCACTAACCTTGGGTTACCTTGGGTAACTGACACACCCCGTAGGGAACTACAGCTTATACTAAAATCACATGTTTCTGTTGACCCAAATTAATGCTCAGGTTGACTACCAGTTTTGTATCACTTCATTCCATAGCTGCCTGGATTTTGTACTACCATAATTAAGGGAGTACAGTATAGGCATTTGATATCTTGGTTCAGAGGAAATACCTAAAACCCTCAGTCTTGCTGTATTCCCCCAAAACCTATGCCAGAGTTTAACATTGGATTTGTCTCATCAAATACGGGTTTTGTATCCCCTCTTCCAAGAATCGGTATCTGATGGGGAATCTCTACCTTTGAAACACAAGTATAGGTTCATCAGAATTGATTGTGCTAGCTCTGTGAAACTCACCATTCTGTTTTTTGCCTTTGCATGTACTTCTAAAGATCAAGACATACCATTAGAAATTGTGCCAGCTCTTTGAGAGTCCTTAGGTGGTAATGGAACATGATTCTAACAACTCTGTCCCTGTCTCCAGAAAAAGAAAAGTTCTCTGATGTGGAATCATCCAATTGAACAGAGTGGGAATTTCTTCTGGATGAAAAACTTGGAGCCCCATTTTAACACACCATGCTTTTTAACCTATGATTTGATTAAGGGGCTGGCCTTGGAATGGGGAGACAAGGTTTAAGCCCACCCTCAACCACAGAAGCTCATGTGGCTGAGGGTGGGCATAAATGGGGAGGCAAGGTTTAAGCTCACTCCCTCAGCTCAACCTACCATATAGGGAGTGGTTTGGAAGGGAAATAACAGAGTATTTGTCAAGGCTATGTATGTTGCCTTGAGCCCCTGAATGAAAGGCAGGATATAAATCTAATAAATGAAATAAGTTCCTCATTAAATGGGCTTATCCTTTCTTACTAGAAACAAGGGGATGGTGATGAGGAATCTGACATTTGATTTTCAAGCTTATGCAGTTCAATAGGATTATTCTGTCCCCGCGGCTACATTGTAGATACTGTGCTTCTGGTGTTACTGCTAGTAACAATAACCAACAAAATTTAAGGATCAAAAGGTATTTTCTCTACACTCAAGAAAAATCATGCCATATATTTAAATGTCATCTTCAATAGCTTCTAAAACTGGGTTTGCCCCTCTTTAAAGAAAATGTCTGCATCTGGCCGTGCTCGAAGACCTAAAGTCAGGAAGAGTTAGATAGGAAGAGTTTTATTTGGAAGAAGACCTAGCCCTAAGTAATTCTGTTTCATCTTGATTATAATCCCCCTTATTTGAAACTGTTAAAGATTTCTGTTTTAGCTACAATAATTATTAATCTGATAGTACTTTCATCTCCCTCTGCATAAGCACTGGCTATACTACTTTTAATGTTCTTTTTATTTCTGGGATTCCAGTTTCTTCTAACTCTATCCATAAAACCCTATTATAAGCATTTTTTTTATTATTACAGTAAAACCATCAGCAAGGGCACTATTTTCTAGAAAATAAAGCATTTGAGGTAAACAATTACTGATTCTGGGTAAATTAATCACAATTGTACTTTCCTCCAAAGAAAAGTGTATAGCTCAGACAATTCTGGCAAGATGACCTTGGAGCAAAAATATATCATATATGAGCCTTCCTTAATCTAATGTTTGGCATGTCTGTATTCCCATGATTTTCATCCTCCCTCCCCCCTCCCCCCTCCAATATTTTATCATTGAGACTCAGCACACTTAAAAAAGAAACTACTCCAAGAAAGGCTATTTGTGGTTAATAAAACTGTATCTTATGTCCTGACTTTGTTAAAATATGCAGTCTAGATTTAAGGGTCCCTTCCCCCTCAACCCCACCTGCTTACAATATAACCTACCTCCAGATCTTGAATTGTATCTTCTCTTGAACAATTTTGTTTAGTTAATGAAGCAACATTACCAGCCATATTTATAAATCCATTCCTTCCAGATTGGACTTCTAGGATATTGAAGGCATTGGCTGTTTAAAGTACATTCCAAATAATATTTGACTTAATACTGATATTCTAGAGATTTAGGTTTCAGTGTCTGCTTGTTTATTTTGATAGTAATATCCATCAATTCCTTCCTTTATTTGAACGGAAGAACTATTACACATTTCTCCCCAACAACAGCAGAATTTCCAGAAAGTAAATGATAACAAATAACTGCCATTTACACTGCATCAAATTATTTCTAAGCTGATGCTAAGCATTTGTGGGAGTGTGATTGAATTAGACACAAAAGGGGTTTTGGTTAAAAAAATGCTACAAATGAAATGTAGGGGTTCATTTGGGGTCAAGCCATATTGGTTTTGAGGTACTCTATAGCTCACCATGGGGATTTGTCAGTTACACACTTTTGTGAGGGAAATACTAAAGTCAGGATTGGTGGGAAAAAAATAAGTACAGAACTGGTATAAAACTTCGGTGATAGGTGTATTGTAGAAATAAAATTTTTAGTTGATTACACTAAGGTGCCACCAAGATACCTCAGCATCCTCCCACACCATGTTAATCAGGAAACCATTTAGGAGAAGTGCTTTGTCTCTCTGGTTTGATTATTTTATGCCCTTGATTTTCACTGGCTATAGCAGTATTTCTCAGCCTTGGCTACTTTAAGATAGGTGGACTTCAACTCCCAGAATTCCCCAGCCAGCCATGAAACACTGGGCTATATAGATTCCAGGCAGTTTCCAATGTCATCTTGCCAGGCAAAAAAGGGACTTCTCCTTAGTCCCATAAACTCTGCTCCCCCAAAGGATTATCACTGAAACCAGACAGAGGTGGCTATACCCACAAAGCCAAAGAAACTCCATGTCTGAAAGCAAAGCCCCACTCCCTCCACTTCCCAAGGTGATGGTGATGCTTGGGGGTGGGGGAGCAAAAGACTATTTTTAACAGTGTTTGGATTGGCTGTAATGAAAATTAAGTAGAAGCACAACATGGTGGATGGTGGACAGATAAGAATCCCTCTTAGCTGTGCACCATGTGCAAGGCAGCTTTGACAAATAACAGGGAAACTGGCAAATAAAAGTCCAATTTGACATCTTTTTTACTTGCAGAATGCTGCAACAAGGAAAAGCTGTCTTCCACATGGTGGCAAGAGAGAATTCATATGCCCACCACCCACTGCTTTATGTTTCCAGGATGTCTAGCTGATCTTCCTCCACACCATCTGATTGTCACCAACCATCATTTTTCAAGTCTGCTATGCTCCCTCTCTGAATCTTCCAGTAAATTCCACCCATCTTTCCCCAATGTAGATCTCCAGGTCTTCTGAGTCTACAGAAAAATGTATTTCAAGCTTCCATCTAAGTATTTGCTGAGCTGAAATTCTGAAGCTCCCCAAAGTTCCTGTGGCTACCCTTCCAGAATACCCCAAACATCAAGAGACTGTCAACCTCTTAGCTGAGTTAATTCATTTTTTTCTTTATTCTTTCATGGGGCAGAGTGGGGAATTTCCCAGATTAGGCAGAAATTAGGCATGAGAAAAATGGAGAAGTCAGGAAAGGGGTGGGATTCACTAGTGGGTAAAAGCCAGTATCCTCCTGCAGTTGATAAAACCCATCAATATTTGTGCTAACTTGTTTAAAATTGGTATAGTAATTTAACATTATTGCATCAGCAAGGTATAATTTTTTCATAAAACTCTTTTCTTTCTATTTCCAGAAAGGGAGCCAAATTAATTGGCTGTAGCAAAACAAAGCAAGCAAAATAAATACAAAACGAAAAATAAGCTTGTGGGACTTCTTTTATGTCAGAAGCCTTGTTGGGCTACAGCCTATTTCATGGCATATGATTTCCTGTTGTGTGTAAAGAGGAGGCAGGGTAAAACAGTAAAAACTTAATCTATGTTTACTATTGCTAATCTGCCCAACAGCGTATAGGTGAATTAGAGGTTTGATGTAATTTAGGACCTTTGCGTAGTTTGCAATGATGATGGCTTTAAAAACGCTTCCTTGAATATAAGAGTGCTGACAAGCCAGTATCCTTGTAATTTAACCAAAATGGTTAAATGGTTTTTGTTACCTCTGACTTGCCCACCCCAGGAAATAATAATCATTTAAAAACCCTAGCTTGACCTGAAACTCTAATTCTAGCTAGCCTTTTTTCTGAAATGAAATGTTGCTCACATGCAGGGATTTTTCAAAAGGCTATTTCATCCATACAAACAACTGTAGAGGAGGTTTTGGGTTTGCTTGTTTTTTTTACCGTTCTTGATTTCAAGTATTATCGAGCGGCAGAGGGCAGCACAACGTAAGTCAGGAATGTCATTTCTTTTGCAACGTTTGTGAAGTATAAAGCTGGCTGCTGTTTCATAACTTTCAATCAGAATGAGCCTTCCTATAATTTAAGACCATTATTCCACGACTCTGGATATTAAAGAAGAGATGACTTGGCCTTTTTCTCTGGGACATCCCCTTCAGCTATTGGAATGCTATTATTGTTCCGCCTCTCAAACTCTCTTGTCACAAATTAATCCAGAGAATGGCACTGCCCTTCTCTGAATCCATTCCATTTTTTTTAATCCTTTGTAAAATATGGTAACTAGAACTGGAGATAGATTTGGATAAGTTTAGAACAGAATGGAACTATTACTTCCCATGATTTCAACACAATACTATTAAAGCAGCCTAAAATTGCATTTGCTTTTTTTTTGCAGCTGTATCATACCACTGATTCACCTTTGTCTTGTGTTTAACTACCATTCCAAAATATTTTTCCCAAGTCCTGTTGCCAGTCTAGGTTTCCCTCCCACCCATCATATACAGTACTTCTGCATTTTATTTATTTTTTTCTTAAGGGAATAATTTGAATGTTTCTCTTTTAAATTTCATTTTGCTCTTTTCATCTCATTCATCTATCAAAATCATTGTATGACTCCTGTCCAGTTAGGTATTCCATCTATTTTTACATCATCTGCAAATTAGACAAACTTTTCATCACTTCTTTGCTCAAACCATTAATAGAAATATTTTACAGTACTGGGTTTTAGGATCAAACATCATGGCACTTTATTTGCTACCTCACTTTAATCTGATAGAGAGCTGTTGAATGATTCTTTGAATATGGTTTACAAACTAGCTGGGGTTCCACATAATTATCTTCCCCTTCAGACTGCACCTAACTAGCTTGCTAATCAGTATGTCAGGAGATACTTTGTCAAATGCTTTGTTGAAAGACCTATATGATATCCACAGCATTCCTGTATTGTACTAAGGAAGGTTTTTTGAGGGTGGGGGTTGGTGCCTTTGAGTTGGTCTTGACTCCTGGCAACTGCTGGACAAGTGCCTGCAGTTTTCTTGGCAAGATTTTGGAAGTAGTTTGCCGTTGCCTCCTTCCTAGGGCTGAGAGAGGCTGACCAGCCCAAGGACACCCAGCTGGCTTTGTGCCTAATGCAGCACTAGAACTCACAGTCTTCTGTTTCAAGCCTGGTACCTTAACCACTACACCAAACTGGCTCCATTACCTGATCAAAAAAGCAAAGGTTGGTCTTACAGGCAGTCCTCCCACAATTGGGACAGGAATCTCTATCATTGAATGAAGCAGTTGTAAAGTGAAACACCCACAGGACTGCTTCGCTCAATGACCACAATCTGGGCACTTCCAGTTGCGGTTGTTAAGCAATCTCTCTGGGCGTCAAATGCATGGAGTGAAATAGCTGACTGCTGAAGGATTTCAGCTCCCCTCCATCCCCTCCCCTTGCAACCTTCCTTGCCGGCTTCCCCACTGA